AATTATGTCATTTGAAGAAAAAATCATCAGCTATGAAATACGCATTCAGTTGCTATTATGTAAATATATAATTCATGACAAGCAAATATAGTTTACAATTCATGATAGAAAACAGAAAACATAAAAAAAGATAGAAACAAATTGAATCATAAATCATTTCTCAGGTAATACATATAAAAGGTCTTGTCTAATATGAAATTACACTTACAAAAATTTTTTTTAAATCAGTTCGATATGTTGTTTTCATAAAGGGTAAACACACAACCCAACAATTTACTCTAAAATACAACTACTGTGGTAGATGATATAGTCTATAAATTTGATCCTTTAAGCTAGGGAAATTAATATAATAAATATTTGATATAAATTTTAATATAAATTACTTAAGGTTAATAATTAATTTATTTTATTTTTATACTTTCATATGTCTATGTGATAAATGACTTAATTTTCTTTTTCAAAGATAAGAATAAATTGAAAATGGAACAGCTTTAAGCTCTTAGCATGTTCTTCCATTTCAAATTATGTTATGTATTAATGAATATGACTGCATCATTGGCTGAAACATTGTTGAAACTAAACTAAGACAACAACCAGCATAATTCTAAACATTTGACCAGATTTCTCCTAAATAAACAACAAAAGGTAATATATCACACTTACAAGTATCAAGCTGTGTTTGCCCCACTGTAAATTCCTCAAACTTCGCATGGTTTCAGCAAATATAAATATATCAAAATTCCAAAGTTATGGCATATCAGTAAACAGTGAACTCTGTAACCGTACAGAGATCCTCCATCACAGAATTATGTGCTTAGTACTCCTGCAGACTGGGCAGATATACAAGGTGGGTCATTAGCAGTGTTATCTACAATGGGAAGTGAAATTTGAAGGATTGAGTTAAACTGAACGACATTATCTTTGGAAGTGATGTGATGCAATGTAACTAATGAAGTGTAGATCATCACCTACAGTAAATCAGGTAAAACCCAAACAGGTAAACATTTCACAGGTGTATGTATATAACAACTAAAAACTTTTCAGGTACATAAATATTCATGAGACTCCTGGAAGGACTGCCAGGTGGTAGATGGGGTGTTGGAGAGGGGATATATCAGCGGTGGGGTGGGGATAGAGAGCAACTTTTGTTTTCAGTGTTAAAAAGTTTCATCAGTACAATGCAAAGTAACATCGACGATATCATCTATTTTTGGAGCAAGCATTAAATGTTTGATGACATTTGATGATGTCCATAAAACTTCACCCATATCCCAATAAAAACTGAGGATCTCGTACATAAAAGGGAAGCACAAGTCTACACCCTGTGTCTATAAACTACAATACAAATACAACATAATCCCAGATACCGAGAGGTTCCGAGATTTAACAGTTAATGGAAACCACAGATTTATGAGATATTGATCAGACTAGCTTAAGACCCTGTCAATTTCATCTAAAACTATTCACCAAAACTTTTATATAAATGTGATAATATTTAAATTACCTAACCTTCAATGACAACTTATTTGTAATGCATGCATTCCAAAAGTGTTAACTAACATAAACATGAAGCATTATACCTGCAGAGGATCAACTCACAGTGTATATTGATCATAAATCGTTAAACAAAATCTCTGTATATGAATTCCAGGAATGATAATACCTTCCTTTTTATTTTTCATTATTATTGTTATTTTTTTTTCTTTTTTTCTGTACAATCGAATTTTTTGGGAGGTTCAAATTTTCGTAGTTTTCCCAAAATATACCTTTTCATTGGCACTTGATTTTGTACGATAAATCATGATCACAAAATCCACTAGCACTATGATTCTATGTCAACATTTGTCTGTTCATTATTGTGTGGTCACTTAAATGCATGGATTTAGACTAGCCATGAATTCAATAAAGAAATTAATCCCTCACTAAAACTGTTGATTTAACAGTAGTTTTTCATGCAACCAATTAAGGAAGGCACACTGTCTGATGTTTCTCTTATATAGTGTATTACAGTTAGCAAACAATTATATCCTGGATGAACTTATTCGTTTGACAAATATTGCAGCAAACATGCTATTGTTGAAGTAATGAGTCTAATTATATCTACAGCTCCCATTATGACCTCATCTGACAATCTGCTTGCTGGTGCGTTATCTAGCTACTCCCAACCATTCTGACATTCTATTGACTTTTTTGTATCAGTCTGGAGTCACGGGGCAACAGATATGAAATAGCTGATAGAATGTTATAATAATTTGGACTGTATCTCAGTCATCATGATCATTATATACACCATTAGCTTGCAAGGACAATATAGGGCACTGAATCACTTGATACTAATGTGATCAAAAGGAAAATGAAACTGAATAAAGAGAGCGATATACAGACCACTGTTACGTTAGGCTGACGAAATCTTTTTTTTTTAACATGTATGTAATTGTTTCCTTAGTGAGAAAGTTTGGACATCCTGGTCCACATGTGATACACCAGACAGACAAGTCACATGGAAGTTATTCATACTGTATTTAATCTTAAAAACTCCCTGAGCTCTTCTTTTGGTTGTGAAATCTTACTTGTTACCAAGTGCTAGTCTTCTCTGTCTCTGATCTATTTGGTACCTTTACATGACATTTTTCACAAATTGACACTTTGTTGTATTATCTTTCTATCTTTGTAAAGGGACATAATCTACCTTAAGAGAAGAATTTTAGAAATGAGACTAAGTTGACAAATTTTGACACAATAATGTAGAAGATGAAGAATCTGTTACCTGTATGTATTCAAGATTAATTTATCTCAGTCTCAGGCTGACATTCTGTAACTGTTGTTTTCAGCTTTGCCCCGAATGAGATTGTTACAGAATGTCAGCCCAAGACTGATAAATGGATATGTACAGGCTCCACTAATATACCTCTACTTTATTTACTCTATATAACAGTAGCTGATTGAATGGACTATATCCCCTAACTTAGTCCTGTGTTTTAGATAGAAAACTAAAACATATTTACATTCGAGTGTCTGTGCCAAGGTAATCAGATGAGAGGTGGGAGAAGTTTATTACGCATACATATGCGCATATGACTCAAGGGGTGGAAGGGACTTGTTAAGAAACACCTGCAATGTAGACATAACACTTTCTCTTTCAAATACGTTGTCCTTGGTTACACTTTGCTTTTGGCTCTATATCTACCAAAGGGACAGTCATATAAATAAATATAAACTTATAAATTTTACAACAATTGCAAAACAAGTTATTTCAACTTATACTAATCACTGTTGTTGGTCCGGATGTAAGCGCGTGAGGGGTCTTATTGTGGGAGGAAACCGGAATACTCAGGGAAAACCCGCGTGGTCGGGCAGGTGACCCCTAACCTTTTCAGACAATCATAGCTTATGATGTTTTACAAATATTTTCACCTTAAGACATCTCTCTACTTTCCATTGGCATGATAAAATGGTTGAAGTGTATGATGGATGGATATGGTTTCCTTTGGCTTCAGAAAATAGACCTTGTATCAAGCTCTGAGGGTCAATATAAGGAACTCTGACTCAATGTTACAGGGTGTGCTAATTGCAAGAAAATGATCATTAATTATAATCTATATAATAGATGTAGATAATTATTACCAGGAATGGGCTAATCTCCAAAAATAAACATAATACTGGTGATCAACTATGGTGAGAGGTTGAAACGATGGAACAACATGCAATTAATATGCTTTATCATGTGGAACCAATTAGTATGATAACAGCATAGAATACACATTTCTTATGTAATAAACAGGCAATAATGTTGGCTGGGTTTATCTCCTTGAGAATAGCCAGGTTTTTTTTAACAAAGTTTCTCCTTTTAGTAAATGGTTGATACTTGACTAAACAACATAAGGGAGGCTCATTACATGCCATTCAAAGCACTTAATGTGAAACATCTTGCCCTAGGACATAACCATAACAGCATAGACTAGCCCAGAGTGTTTTTTTTTAACTTTCTGAGAAACTCTCATGGGTATTCCAGGAGCATCAAACTACACACCTAGCTTCTTCACCTGCTGATACACTGCCAACCCTCTACCAAATGAGTATGCCAGCCCGGTCCAAACACCGACAACATTAAGTTTACTGTATCAATTAAGCTTTCCATGTATTCAACATGCTAAGGAATTATCACTTGGGATTAAACATCAAAAACCAACAAGAAAGCAACCAGGAAACAGTGAATTCCTATAACAACGAGCACTTAAGGGAAGTAAAAATATTTTATATCTATATGTACACAAACAAACTACAGGGCACATAAATAAGTATTTATAACATGTAACATATACATATATTTAACAGAACACAGATATCAATTGGGCACTGCAAAACAAAGTGATCCTGACACTGACCTCCGACTCTAAAAATCAAAATACAGATTTCATTGACTTTTGACCTCTGACTATTAATATAAATAATTTCTAGCCTATGAAAGAGAACTATAATGCCATATTGATTATTCTCCATAAAGAATGGTGATTTTTTTTTAAAATTTGTAATGAATAGGTATGGACAAACAGTCACGGTACATCATTCCCTCTTCTGCTTTAAACAAACAGAATCCTCATGCCCATGGAAACTAGGTATAAATCATTGGTACTAATTTCCAACATGCAAATGTTTTAAGAACTTCTTGATGCAACACTAAAGCTATCGGAGCTTTATATTTTAAGTTAAACACCAAATATGCATAAAAGTTTACACAAGTCATCAGCGATCACAGATCTTGAAATTGATTCAAGCCCCACATGTAAACATATACAATACATGTTCATGTATATATGAACAACAATGCATTCTCAAAAATAGCAAACTGAACATGCCACTAAGAAATGTAAACTAATCCCAATCTGTAAACTTCTACATAGGGTCAAAAGGCATGAAGTTAAAGGTCACCAGGCCAAAGGTCAACAGGTCACACATACTAAAACACATGCAAAGACATGCTTAGATATAATAGTGGGCACCTTTGCGATGGATTCGAGTGACCCTGGAATTGTCCAGTTGTTGAGCCACCACTGGACTGTGTCTGGGATGACCATGGACATACGGCCGAATCTTCGGTTGTATCGAGCCTGGTGACAAATTTTACAATTTTTACAGAATGGATGTTCGCGATGTACAGGAGGGTCATGTGATGTTATCAAGGACATGTTTTTTTCATTCCTTCATCTGTAGTGGCTTTAAATAGTACATGCTCATCCACAAATAATCCACAAAGGTTTTCTTCCTCTATTTGACATTCACAAATTTAACATCCAATTCTATCCCGATTCATTCATGATTCAAATTTGGTTCCACTGAAAAAATGCACTCACAAATTAGCATCATTTACAAAATCAACATCCATCTTGGTTCTACTTCATTCCTATTCAAAGAAAGATCCACTGGTGATCGTCCTGAAGTGTTCACTAATATAATTAGTATTCAGAAGAATTCTCTACTATTTGGTCATTCACAAGCAAGCATTCACTTGAAAACCCATTAATGTCCACAATATGATACTTTTTGTTCTTATTGAGATCTTTTTTGACCCCTTTAGTATAAATCCATGTGTTCTATCTGATGAAATTTCACAGCTCCTTTATAAAATCCAGGCTGGTGAACTCTCCACACCTCTGTGATGATCCCTTACTGGATAAAGATTAAATCACACTACATATATGTTGTAATCCAGTTTACACATCTATACACAATCAATACATAGCATCCAGTCTCCAGTTTACTAAACATTACGTCGCGAACCAATTACACAGGATGTTACGAACAGTAAGAACATCAGCCACTTTAAAAAAAACGTATTAGCTTCTGGTAATATTTTTTTCAATAAAAAAAATTCACAATTTTGTTCAAATTATGTTTGCTGTCTTTCTGTTTATAAATCCTTATAACGAAGTATTACTATTGCACATACACAATCTCTTTCCAGTGAATGCTGACCACAGCTTTGGTTACAAGCACAAACTACAACCATATTGACTAAATGGTTACTTTATCTACCACATAACAATATAGCCATGACATCACACATGCCAAAAAAGGAAAGAAAACAACATTTGTGAGCCGTGAAATTTCCCTCATGATCTCATTAAATTAATATCCAAGCCTGTCGTAACAGCATATAATACATCACTCACGATATAATTTAGGCATTGCACATATACACGTTCATACACAATGACAAGAAATAGCATACAGCTGCTCAGAGTATGGTGGCTATCATGTAGCCAGTTCATGTTGATAGCAGACAACAATACAGAATGCCCGACTGTTACGCATGTATAATGTCCAGAGATAGGAGTACTTTATCCCATTGTTGTGATGTATCTTAAATAGCACAATCAGGCACAAAGGGTCTGTATCTACAAAGTTTGGCACTTTTCACTTCAGTACTTGAAATATCTGTAGCATTTTTTCCAGATTTTTTTCAAACTCAGTAGAAGGAAAATTATCCAAAAGAATTCAAGAATCTAACTTCATCAAAAATGAAATAAAAGTACAATGGTGATGGTGAATCATCTGTATTAATAGCATAATACCAGTATCAATTAAATATTAATCAAATATAAAAATCAATTAAAATAGAAAATAATCAAACATACAAGAGTAACCAATTTTATCAAAATTATTGCCTAGACTTAATATACAAAGCCCTCCCTAATTAGGACTTGACAAAGTTCCCTGACTTTACTGGCTGCAGCTACATGCAATGTAAACGGTAAACTAGCAAAATATTTCTATGTATCTGTTCTGAAAATTGTTGCATTTACTTTTTTAAAATTATATAATCTGTACTCTCTCTACTATGTAAGTAAGCATTGTTCTAGATTCCAGCCTTTAAATTCTCCTCATGTTACAGCTATACTATATCCCTACAAGAATGTTTAGAATATTAGAAGGCTGGTTATACAATCCACTACTATACACCACTGTAGTAAACAAAGTATTGAAGATAAATGTTGTATTTCTGTTTTCAAATTGTTCCTTAATTTCAAGCATCATCAGAATTTTGATCAATATTCACTCTGTATATACATAATGTACATTATAGGTCCAGTCTTACACTGGTAACAGTATACTTGTAATCTGTACTGCATATCCAGTATTAAGTCTATAGTTATGGCTATACATAGAAGCAAAGTTGTTGGCTATACTTATATTTTAATACCAAAAGTTTGTCCTCGTTTAACAGGGATTATCATGAAGGATGCTTATGGGGCCAGGTTTGGACTCACGAATGTGATATAGACCCTCCAATTTCTTTCAATTTTGTCATTGATTAAAACTGCTGAAAATGCAAATCAGTCCAATATGCAAATGTAAAAGGTATCTCTTAATTTGAAAGTAAATATTATAAAATATAATTTGGAATGATTATCAATTAATATCATAGTATACATGATATAAATGACATCTTTTAAGGTTATACATGTATATCAATACTATCAGACATTCAGTGAGAAATCTACCTCACTCATCAAAATTAATGGTCATATTCAGGTGTCCACACACTCCCAAATAGCACCTGCATACAAGGTTTAGATTGTTCATCATTGGTCAGTTCCTATATCTAAGTTATAAGTCTAAGGCGACAAAAATAAATGACATGATCGAAGGCATTCTTGTCTTTTTCTTCTGGAAAAATCTTTATTTCATCAAAATTCTATGAAATAGAAAACTTTAAAATAAAAAGAAAGTTTATTGATTTTCTGTTATTAGGACTTGACAAAGTTCCCTGACTTTACTGGCTGCAGCTACATGCATGTAAACGGTAAGCTAGCAAAATATTTCTATGTATTTTGTAATTTATGTAATTTGAGAAAAGAAGATGGCATTTCCATCTTTTACCAATATTTTTTCCAAAAATGTTCTGTATGTGAAATTTGTAAAACTGGACATGATGAAGATCTGAGGTCCTTTAATCAAGTAGCTATATGATTGAATATGTGGTACTGTGAGTCTACATTGATGGCAGAGACCTGGAACCTTGACATCTATGTGAAGAAAAAGTCCCTGCTAATCGCAGTAATCATTAGATTTGACAGACCACCTGCAGAAGGAACAAAGAGCCTATTGTCTAAAGCTGACATTCATAGATTTTTGTATACACCATTTTATTTCCAGTTAACAATGTCTCTCCATCAAATATTGTCAATTACTTGTGTATAAAATGGCGGACAGTACTAAGTACACCTGTAGATGTACTAATGTGTATGTATACCAGTAAAATATATACATCTGTACACTATAAATAAACCTGTCAAGGACAGCCGTGAATTACGAGATCATAACTGTGGTGTGATGATCCCAATGGAGTAACAATGTTTTTTTGGTTTGCCTAGTTTTTAGACCGTCAATACCACTAGGCTGTTATGCAAGGTCTCCTTTTAGCAGCTGGTGGTTACCTCACTGAACAACATACAGAAGGCCCATTCAGAGTAGCTTCGGTAAAACAACTTGCCCAATTACACAACCATTTGAGAACAAGATTAACCACTATCTGTATATCCTGAAAAACACCATGCACCACAGATCTTCACCACAGGTTTCTAAGTCTCTATGCTCTGGTTGTATTTCACTGTGAGTTCCCTTAAAGCCTCTAAATGAAACACAGTAGTGTATACTAATGTAAGTAAAATTGGTATCTGTGTATAAACTGTGTATGAATGTTAAATGTCAATCAATTGCCAATTTTGATGTTCAGTTAAAGGTCAAATGTCTTCACATTTTCAAACTGAAAATGAATATCCTGGGAATGAAATAATAAACTCAAATGATTTACAGTATATATCGACCATAACTGTTCAAATATTTCCTCAATGAATCAAATACTCTCATACACCTTTGTGATTTCCAAACTATCCTTTATGATACCTGTCATTCAGTCCCTTGTTTGAGAAGAACTTCCCGATACTATCAGTGCATGAGGAAAATATTATAAGCCAGATATGATAATATCCAATATCATAATAAAAGGTGATGGGATGATGATTGGATTCAATCGGTTATCCAATGATTCCACCTCATATGATGTGATGATTGTGATTTTTTATAATCAATCATCAGTAGGCTTCAAAGTGAAACATTTTAATTTGAGGACTGAAAAAAGTGGTCTTTATAGCAATGTGGTCTGAACTTAGTTTGGAGGTAGTTTTTGAGTTCCACTTTGTACATGCATACACATCCCAGATATGTGTACCACATAAAGTTCTATCATTAACACACACCCAGATATGTCTGTGCTGGGTACAATAGTAAAATCAATTATGTGAAGGCCAGGCATGTTACCAGCTGGCCAACAATCCAGATATGTCTTGTATAGACATCAATTATTTAGGACTGTACACCAATACCTCAAGCTTTTCCAATGTTGTTATGATATTGGCTTTACAGTGAGGATGCTATTTGAACATACAAGTTATGGTCATATCAAACACTTTTTGAGTTGTCTCCCCTATACATTATAAATGTAGTTTGTTTTGAACTATGGAATATGTATCAACATTGACTCCCATGTACATGACAAATATAATCTGTTTTATAGTTATCTATGTTTATAAAAGTTGGTTTGGATCAAAGTTATCTCTCCTACACAACAACTTTTTTTGAAAGTTATCTCCCTCACACAAAAAACTTCAGACATCAAACATTTCATTTGTGTTCAGTGCATTATCTCCCTTAAAATCTTTCATTGATGTTAGAATAATCCCAAACTAACACAAAACAAAGGCTGTCATAATGACCTCAGTAAACAATAACTGGCAACATAATATTATTTTTTCTTAGTGTTATAAACAAACCAACTGACTTATCTGTAACACTGAGTTAAACTGATGCCTGTGATGTTCTTCCTTAAATGTTAAATGATATACATCCAGCACATCATAAGGATGTAGAATGAATTACATCACAAGAGTTTTAAATTTCATCTGAGTGTAAAAATTTATCATTTATCAATCATTAATTCCTCCCATGTTAAATCATGTGAAGTACCTGCTTTCTTGATTGATTAAACCAAATTAAATAAGTAGTATTTTAATTTGTATTCACCTTTTTAACATCAAATTATCAATTATTAATTTCAAATTCATAAACTTTTCTTTTTGCAACAAATCTGTTTACACGATTCCAGAGAAATAAGAAGACTTTCTGTTGCTTGGTGAAGTGTTCATTTTAAAAAGGGTTTCCTTGAATCATTACGTAATATGCATGTCTACTATTATGATCATCTGTATTCATGAACTGCTTACAAACTACATCTGCATAACAACAAAGCAGTGTGATGGTTGAAAGGCTGAATTAATAGCTGTGGTATGTCTGTGTTTCCTGGACTTTGACAGCTATATAGCTACAAAAGTGGTTTACTGTCTGCCAGCTTCTTCTCAATTTATATCAATAATGTTTAATTACATAAAACAGTGACCAGTGCCAAATTTTTACCCAAATATTTCAATTTCTTAAACATTGTAACATTGTCTAGCTAACAATGGAAGAATTCCATGTTTTAAATTGTTTTAAAAACAGTATTTTGAATCAATAATACACATAAAAAATGTATGAATTTACATTTTGTGAAATATTTTTAATGAATAAAATATTGGATTAATTTTAAAGGAACATTTCCATAAAATTAAGAAAACTTCAAATTTCACAAACATTATACAAAATACCAGAACATGATATCAAATGACTCTGAATGCTGTATTTCGCCATAATTCAGCAACTTCTGTCAGTAAGAGATATCACAACAGAAAATCTGATATGTTCATGAAACATTATCCATCTAATTCAACCACTGAATGTGTGTATTGATCAAAACTGATATGACCTGACATAGTTGTGATCAATTAACAGTTTTCAGAATTTCTTATCAATTATTGAAATTATTACAATCAGTCAATTTTTCGTATTAGACTGATGGTTTCAAATTTATTTTCCATTAAAATACAGTATACTGGAAACCATTAGCCCAATGTTATTTTTGCCAGCCAATCAAAATGTTTGTTTTTGCATTATTAGGGACTAAAACATGTACCTGTTCATAAACAAATTTATTGATCTCTGATGGTCAGTCACACAATAAGTACATTTGAACTGGAAACGGTAATAAATCACATGATCCAAGAATCTACTGAGATTTTTAACCATTATGTATACACCTGAAGTTTGATGTATAAACGTAAATTGATTTTGTTGCATCTTTTACAAAATGCTTGGGGATTTGGGACTTAACAATTGATGGGAAGCATGCTCACCCATTAGGGTATAATATTCAGGCATATTCCCACACATATTTTACACACAAGTTCAATAAATACATACTTGACACAAATCCATTTGGATAATCAATGTTATCTCCTTCATCCCAACTGACATGGACT